CTGAATCAAGTGGAGGTCCTGCATCTCAGCCAGAAACCTCCAGTACATGTTGAACTGTTCTCTGAATACAAAGCACACCTAACAACAAAACAATTCAAACATGGTGCATGGTTTCTCCAGCATTTCCAAAGATAAAACAGTGAATAAATGTGGAAATGACATGTTTCTATATGACATGTTTCTATATGGCATGTCTTTCTAGCTTCCTCTGACCTCAGTGGGGCCCAACATATGAAAATAGTCTTTTTCAACTACTAACTCAGGGTTTGCCAATCCTAAGAATGAAGTTCTTAAGAAGCTCTGATAAGTGAGGGTCTAGCTGCATTCCTTGTGAAGAAGTAGGTTTGTCTGCTGGATGCTAAAGCACCTGAGGCCCTAAAGATGCTCTCTAAATAGATGCTTGATGCAGGGCAGCAGAGGGGAGTGCTGGCCACCAAGAGAGTCCATGTCAGCAGGCCAGCATTTCATCTTGAAAAACATCACTCCAACTGTCTACAGTGACAAACTTCTTCTTCAGAAAGAACAGAGGAAACATTCCTAAATCCTGTAGCCAGAGACAAAGGGAAGAGGGTGGGAATCCCTCCTTGCTACAGCATTTGCTCCAGTGTTGCTTCCTGGTAGTCATGGTGCCTTGGAAGATCACCTTAGCCACTGCATGCATCAGACTTTTTCTTGTTTCCTTGTTGCCCATGGTAGCTCTGGATCATAAGTCTAAGTATGTTGCTACACAGTGTATTCATTTCTCCTATGCTGATCAGAAGATAGTGATTTTCTAGAAGAAAAGACGGCATGAATTTTACCAAGGGTTTAGCCTGTTCACAGCACAGGGTGTGCACAAATCTGCAGCAAAGGAGCTACTTGTGGATTCCTTCCATCAACCTCCTAACCAGCTTTGCAACCTTACCAAAATGCCAGAAGAAATTATTTAGCTTCCACCTATGCAGCCAATGGAAGGGTGATAAACAGAGACTTATTTCTGTTTATTCTCACCTGGATCAATATACAGGGAATGCTACCATTGCTCCTCTCTTTCAGAAAAATCATTCTGACAATAAATGCTCAAGAACTTCTGGATTGTACCTTCTATCATTACACTGAATACAGAGACAGGCTAAGAACAATCTGCAACAGAGTACATTCCAACTTATTTAAAATTAAAATAAATATAGACAACTGAGTTTTTCCATGTAAAAAACAAACAAATTTACTTGAAATGTTTGTGCAACAGAAAGCATCACTCACCAGAAAACTCGTTTAAAGTTGTTTCATGATGTGGGTTTTAAATTAAGATTAAGTTTTTTCCTGATGTGCCAAAGAATGTTTTTAAGAATATATCCCTTTAGAACATAAATACCATATGGCACATTTTAACATAATGTAAGCTAAATCTGCCAACTGAAGATTTTGCTTTTTAATACAACACTTTAATCTGCAAGGTTGAAAAACAAACCTTATTCCCAAAAATCATTATACAGTGCTAATATAATACGAATTATTTAATTTAAGGAAGCTTTGCAAAAACAGTCCAGGCAGAAAAACATACTATTGCCAGATCCCTCTTTCAAAAAACTGTGTCCAACTCTCAGGTACTGTACATGCTGAAGCTTGAAGAGAGTAAAAATAAATCTACCATCCCTCCTCTTAACTTGAGCTAGATGCCAAAGTCTAAAACAAAGACATTAAAGATTGACTGCCTAAGAAATAATTGTCTTTCTTGCCCTCTTTGCATATTGAACCTTGACTACTCCAGAAAAAGTAAAACTACTTACATTAATTATGTGTTATAGACTATGCTCTACTCTAGAATAAAATACAACATAGACAAAAAGCAATACATGAAAAAGAAAGCTTAAAATGACAACTTTGGACTTCTAACTTATGGCAGCTTTGCTGGTGAAAGCAGGGGAGATTTGCACCCTATAGACTAAATCAGCAATGCATAAGCTTTTATAAGCAGCAGCTTACAATTACAGCAACACGGCATTCGATGAATGAAGTCTTCTAGAGATGAGGGTCTCAGAGAAACATTGATATGAGTGTTAAACTGACAAGGAAAACTTAGTATGCTGGTTTTCTTCCCCTGCTTCCTTCAAAGAGTTCTGTACTGAATTGTGTAGACTTCTGGTAAAAAACACTCACTTATATCTGGGCACCAGCAACTTATTAATTCAAACTCTACTGCTGAACTCCAAAAGCTGAACATTAAATTCAAACTCTACTATAATGAGTAGGATGCACTTATGCAACAATTAAGTCATTCAG